CCTAGGAATTACAGACCAGGAAACTTCTCCAAGATAAAGTTAATCAGCGTCAGCCTGGATATGGTCTTAACAACCGAAGCTACCAGGTGAGAGTAATAATGAAGTTTGCTCTGCGAATCACACGGTTCTGAGTAAAGTACCTCGGAGTTCGGTGTTGAGCCAATCACTTCTTCTTGCTTATATTTCTGATCTGTTTCCTGAAATTGGAACAAAGATATAGTTTTTTTTGCTGATGACACCAAAACCTCTCTTCTGCAACCCAAATAATGTCCCTACAAGTTTACTCACGACATTCAAACAATCCACCAGTCATGTGTAAAATGGTCACCGACACTTAACATCGACAAGTGTGTAATATTACTCATTTGACCGACCGACCCACAGCTACCTATCAACTTTACTAGCAAATTTGCTTAGTCAACAAGCGCAAAGACCTACAATCTGTGACATCGCCAAAAAAATCACCAGCCTAGCTTACTTGATAAAGAGAGTTGTTATGAGCAAATATTCCTCGATTATAATTCACCTTTATAGGATTTTCATTATCAGACCAGCTCTGGAGATCTCATGGCTCCCATATTTCCTGAAGAACATTGAAGTCCTGAAGCTTATTCTGGATCAGCTGATGTAAAGTGGAGAATACAAAAGCTGTTCTGGACGGAGTCCCAAACATGGCAGTGAAGGCAGCCTTTAAAAAATGCGCCTGCGCTTTTCTTGGAAGTGTACAACAAATGCCTTGAGTTGGGTACATTCCACCTGTAGTGGAAGCCACAGAGACTATTACTTCTCAAAGGAAAGTAGCCATCATCCTACCGTCCACTTTGCTAGTTCGAATGTATCGCTCACAGGAAAACTGAATCAGCAGTCGATCTGGCTACCGACAATATGGTTCCGGGAAGGACGTTCTACCCTAGATGTGTTTGATCTCGTGTTCAGTACAGCGCAGGGACTAAGTGAAGAGGTATGAAGAAAAACTGCCTTGTTGCAATGCTAGATATCAAAGATGCCTTCAACTTCGGCAAATGGAACTTAATCATTACGAGAGCCCTCATCAAAATGCAGGTTCCAGGATATCTACGAAGAATGTTATCAGACTAATTCACTAACAGGATCCTCGGATATGATACAGAGACGGGCCTGAAAGGGTAAAGATTTACTGGGAAATCCAGGCTCTATTCTGGGCACTATTTTGTGGAACATCATGTACAGGCCTATTCACTATATTTTGACCCCCCACCTGGAGGGGTAGTTACAGGTGCTTCAAAAAAAAAGTTTGATTTAAAACAAATTCAAATCTGGTATAATTATTTATACAGGGTGTCCCAGAAGCGGTACACAGCTCTCAACTTGAAATTTATAAATGGAACATCCTGTATTTTATTTGATTTTTAGATTCTACGTTCAATTCTAAGATAAATCTATATGAGATAGAACTATCTTAGCTTTTACCGTTTTCGAGATAAAGGCATTTAGATTTTGTGAAAAAAAAAATGTAACGTGATAAATATGGATTGTATGGGAATTGTTACATTAGTTCAATTTTCAAGTAACCTACTTATAAATGAAAAGAAATTCTAAAACAAATATAACTGATAAACTACAAAAATTGTTCAAAATGACCTCCATTTTGTTCAATACATAATAAATATCTTCGTTTGAGATTTTCCATCGATCTTAATACAACTTTATTATTTTCCGTGTTCAAGTTTGTTATTTCCTCTCCAACTTTAGCTTTAATTGCATCGATATTTTGATTATTATTATTATACAATCTAGCCTTCACAATCCCCATGAAAAGCTATCCAAAGGTGTGAGCTCCGGACTATTGGGAGGCCATTTTATAGTTCCTTTATTTCTTATCCAAATCCAAAACTGAGTGTTAAGTAATCCTGAACCTCTGCTACATTGTGTGGGGCTATATCATAGCGTTGATTTCCTATAACCAAAAGTTATCATAAATTTAATCAAAAGCTTGTTGAATAATGTTATTTAAATATGTTACTCTTGTTAACGAATAATCATAAAATATAGGTCCGACTACTTTTCCATTGAAAATTCGACACCAAACTTTCACCGTTTTTCGCCCTGAGTTTTTAATTTCGTTGACTTTCTTCTTTCTATGGTTTTTCTTCTTTCATGAGCGTCTATTTTGCTTATTGTGAACCCCAGCTGTGGAAAATGATGACTCATTACTCCATAATATGATATTAAAGAAGTATGGATTTTCATCCTACATTTGTATAAGATATCTTGACAAAATTCTAACCTCTTCTGTTTTTTATTGTCTGTAAGTTTTTGAACAGGCAAAATTTTATAGGGCTTGTAAGAATACTTCTTCAAAGTTCTTTGAATTTTTGAATGACTTCTTTGAAGATCACTTGCCGCTGTATACAACCCAGTTTCAGAATGTTCTAGAAGAAATAATGTTTCAGAGAACAAAAATTATTTCGGCAAACTTAAAAACTAGTCAATTATTTAAAGTTACTGTTGAAAAATTTTATTAAATATTGATTGATGGACGTTTGCTCCAACCATTTTGAGGGAGGTTTAACAATAATCAACGTTTAAAGTGACACTTTCGCATGTAAAAATGTCACTTTAAGCGTTGATTATCGTTAAACCCCCCTTAAAATGATCGGCGCGAATGGTCAAATGATAATCATTTAAATTATTTATCTTCATAATAAAGCAATATATCCAGATCAGCGTCATTGTTATTGATAACATGTCTGACTCGTCTTTTAAGAGAATATGTATTTTGCAGCTGCCTATAGGTATTCAAAAAAGTGTTAAGGCTTGGGGTTGGACGATCGGTGCCCTTTTTGTTCTTATTATTTTTTACATAAAGGGAAACAATTTCAATTTTTTCTGCCTCACTGTATACCATTACCAAATTAGGCATAACCACATACATTGACGATTGTTGTTGTCATAGTTTACAATAATGAAATTTTTGTTTTTACATGTCCAACTACCCTAGAGTAATTCAAATTCGTCTCAACTCTTTCGAAAAATCTAACCGCTTTTATCTCGAAAACGGTAAAAGATAAGATAGTTCTATCTTATATAGATTTGTTTTAGAAATCAACGTAGAATCTAAAAATCAAATAAAATACAGGGTGGCCCATTTATAAATTTCAAGTTGAGAGCTGTGGACCGCTTCTGGGACACCCTGTATAAATAATTATTTTAAGGGCCGATACTTTTGCTATCGATTAACGAATTTGATATGTCGTCAAAGTTTTGCATGAGCCAAGTTCTATAAGTATGATATGGTTAGAGCACATTCAAACCCTTGATTATTTTTAACAGCTGTCAAATGAGAGCAAAACTACCGGCACTAAATCAAACAATTTTTGAATTAAACTTTTTTTGTAGCACCTGTAATTACCTCTCCAGGTGGGGGTCAAAATATAGTGAATAACCCTGTACATGATGAGCTGCTTAAACAAGCATTGCCAAGGGAAATCAAACTCGTAGCCTATGCAAACGTTCCCGTAGTCGTCGTGGCGAAGCATTTCGAAGATATATACCTACTTTGCTTTTGACACTACAATCCCTCTCTAGAACTTAGAGATTATATCCCCTAAGATTGCAGACAATAATTATTGGTAATGAGACCGCTGAGAGACCTGATTCAAACCTATGAAATACTAAATGGCTATTCCCACCCTATGTTCTGTACTTGAGGCCAAAAAGACTTCATTTCACATATTTTAATTTGCATATTGGCGATCGACGACCAGTGAAATAGGTACCTACTCATCGGATAATATAGTTGTATGTAAGGACATTGAAATGACATTAAGAAGAAGACCAAGGTACTTACCGGAAAAAAAAAATATATATTCAAGACTTCGTTATTTGCATCACTTCAAACAACTATTCAAGGCGTTTATCATTCAGCATTTATTTTCTCAAAAGCAAAATCTACGAAACCTTCTATGTTTTGGCCCTTTGAGCCGGATATTGCAACAGCGATTGGGAAGTATTAACCAGGACAATCCAGAGTAAAGCATACCCAATTACGAAGCGATCATTGAAATTACTAGAGTTGAATTGTTTCATTCTTAGCATGACAAACAATAGACAATCAATAAAGTTGATAACTTCGAGAAAAAAAAATCAATTATATCACAGAAAATGCGTATTTCTTGCTTGCTTTTATGATACATTATTATTAAGGTCTGAAATGGTAAGTTACCTACTTTTGGAATAATTTTCCAAGTACCTACTCAAACTAACTAGTATAGGTAGGTACCTATATACTACTGATCACTCAAAATAGATGGGAGGATTTTAAAAATGCATTATTTTACTGCGATCGTATCTCAGAACAAATACTGCTTCAACAAAATATAAATAATTTTTATTTAGAATTACCAAAAACTGCATAACAAAACTTCTATAACATTCAACTGCTTGTCGATGTTGAGTCAAGCGTCTCAGAAAATATTAAACAAGCAATTTGTGTTATCTTCTTCAATTTTCTCCCTGATTTTGCAATATTTTGAACCCTTCATATCGCAGTTTTATTTGGCAACTCTTAGGTTTCACAGTATACTTAGGTTTCCTCTAGGAGAGAATGAAAACGGAATGAACGATAGTATAGGGGGATGACGTGGAGGCACTAGCAGCCGGAACGGATTTTACTTCATTGGTATGCATTGAGGATTTATACAGGCATGAAGCCAAAAACATTCATCAAGGTGGGATTTAAACGTGAAACTCTGATTCATTGCCGCTCTAAAATATATTCGGCTTCGGAATTGCTCCGAAAATTATTATTTACGTAATCAAGATGATTGTCCTTTTGTGAAATTAAACAATTTTTAGAACATGACTTTTATTAAAATAAATTACAGACACACACTGACGACAGGTAGGAATAAGGGAGCTATTTATATTACATTAGAAATAAAGAGAAATTGAGCAACAAATAAGCAACAAACCTTTCGTATAATATTAAAATAAAAACAAAATAATAATATAATAAGTATCTAGATAAACAGTATACATTTTATCCTTATAGGCTATTTTTTTTTTCATAATTTTACAGCGTATGTACAAAAAAAAAATTGTAGAATATTATAATAAAATTTCTAATATTATAAATGCCAATAAGAATTATAATAAAATTTATTTACAAATTGGACACCAATAAAAAGCTTCTACAATATTTTTTAATATTTTTCTTTCAAACATACTGGCTTGCAAGCTATTTTATAATACTCTTTAGTACAATTATTACGTATACAAATGTTGTACTCTCGTTTTTAACGATCATGTAAGTGAATCATCTAAAATTAAATCTAAAACATACAAAATAATACTAAATTTTATATCGACATCTAAATTATTTATTGGCCTAAAATCTACAACGGTAATTTAGGTACACTCTTTTTCGTTACTTTTAAATTCATACTAAGAGGTTCTTCTTAAAAACATTTTAAGTCTATTTATACAAAGGTAATTTTTACAATGTGTGGCCATTGGTTTTATGTAATTACGGCATAAATAAATAACAAATTAAAACGTTTTCAATTTTGCTAGTTCTAATTCCTAAAGATTTTTCATGTTATGGTTTTAGTACAGCCGTCACTACTAACTAATAAAGTTATGCTATTACAAAAAGAATCTTTAGTACGAATTAATAATCTTTGAAAGTCACTAGAAATAGGTATTAATTTACACAATACCGCAGGGCAATAATTTTCAAGAATAATGGATAATGAACATTTTTCCTCATTATTCTTAAACTTATTGATCTTCTTATATACAAACTTAAGTTTGCACCTTTATACAATAATATAGGGATGTATTTTTTACGTATATCGTTCCTTTAGGCTTTTGTATGACGATTACATTTTTTTGGCTGCATTCAATCAAAACTTCAAAAATATATTATTACACAATCTCCACTAAACAATAAATTATTTTATACATTATATAATTTAATCTAAAAACCTTAAAAACTAAATAGTATACACATTTTCACAGGTTTTATTCGAGTTTATATTATATTATCCCAGAGGGTTTTACGTATATTTTCTTTGACAGGATGAGGGCAGTTCGTTGAACATTTTTTTTTTTTGGAAAACGGCTTCGAATGATTGGGTGACAGGCGAACTCTGGTAGTATTGACCAAGTGGATGCAGAACTTTACCAAATCTGTAATAAAAATAAAAAAATAAATAAGTAAAATCAATAATCGTGTTTTATTCAAGCTAGTGGTTATTTATACATTTTTTAAATATTCTATATTGGAGATTGACAGCCCTAACAGAGTACAATAAAGCCTTAAGAACCTTTGAAAGGAGAACCTGGAGACAGTTGAGTGTGCCTGGAATTTATATGAGGGAGGTTCTGAATGTTAAGCATTAAATTCGATAAGAATTGATGTTCAACTTCATTAAAACCTTAAAATGCACGCGAGCAGACCACCCGTTGGATTCAAGAGGTGAACTGACGTGAAAAATTACATCTTTTCAAAAAACTTTTTTGAAATTAATCGTTCAATTTATTCGTTTCCAATCAGCTGAAATATGATTCAGTCCTCAGTCTAGTAGTCAGGCAGTTGTCAAAAGCTGAATATACCATTTTCTAATTAGTTCATCGTTGTCTTTATACAGTCCACTGCGTTTTCCTGCAAGACTGTCATGTCTTTGTGCAGAACGAGGTTTGTTGCAAGTTTTGATGAAGACCTCTAGACCAGTCTTTACACTGAGGACTTAGTATTGGAACTTGACTTCCCCAAACCTCTGAAAAAAAAAAAATGGATACATATATTCTCGTTATTTTGGTACACAAAGACCAATGACATCCAACAAAATCCGGCAAAAATAAATCTCCGAAAACACTAACTCCGAATTAAAACATGGAACATGCCATTCTTAGCGACCAGATAAGCCATCATATTAGATTACAGAAAAATTGTTTGCCCGTTTTCTAACAAGACCATTTTATAAACAGACGTTTTTGAGTAACGCCTACCCAATTTTTCTCTGACAAAATTTCTGCTGAGTAACACCCACGTTCGCCTCTCTGTGTATAGATAAGACATTCCCCATCTAAACAAGTTGACGTTTGACTTATGACCAGGTAGAAAATACACCACGATATTTTTTTTTTTTGTCTAGATCGTATTTCTTCACTTTGTTAACCTGTATGTTGGGTTCATTTTAGGTTTTATAAAAACTTATTTAATTTAGGTACGTGAAAATTGCTATTGGCTTGCGACTCCTCTTTCTACAATATTTTTAAAGCTACATTACCAAAGACAATAACACCCCATTGTTCTTAAATAGCTTTATCTTGTATATCGTCTCAGAGGCACTATTGATGTAAAACCCCTAAAAGTATGAAATACACTTATCTGGCAAGTTATATTCTTTTCACGGACTACGCTGTAAAGACCGTCCCAAATCCAAGCTTTAAATTTTCTTTTATAAATTTATCTTCAAATATTTTTGTAGCATCGACGTGATTTTGTGTTGTTCTTTGGGAGGAATTTGAAATCAACTTTATTGGAAATTTTAATTTTTCTGGTGCTTGAAAAAAATGATTTATCCAGAAAACTTGGACGATATTTTTTAAGCTGCCTGCATCGAAGTCGACAGCAATAATTTTAAAATAAAACTTTTTGAACAGAAATGGGCCGTGCTTGTATCCAAAAGCAATGTGGGAAATTATTCAGCCGTAAAAAGCTCCAAAGTTTCATTTTTGACTATGGCTTTTTGTTGATTTATTTAAAAACTTTTAGTGTATAAAACAAACTATAGTATTAATATTAACATCTCATTTGTACAATGTCAAAATAGGTACCCTAAGGGAAGAAGATGTCAATAAATAATTCAAAAAAAAAAAAAAACAGGTAACAAGCAAGAAGGGGGAAAACTTGGTTTCCCAAAATAAACTTGTGTAAAAGCTTTTCAACTTTTAACAGACTTGCCGAGTGTGTATGAAAATTAACGGCGCGGGAGCGTGCACGAAGATAAAGCATAATTACCCCGATGTCGTTTACACTTGTCATCTGAAATAAAAATGCTTTATTTTTCTGATATGCATCTTTTCCCCAGACGGTTTTATGGTTGCGTATTTCGCGAGCGAATTTGTTTCGGTTTAAATTTATACGATAATTTGAGCAAAAAAATTTAAACAAAGTACCTATTCGTTCTCAATAGATTCTAACAACAAAAACGTGATTTCCTTACATACTTCCACCGTGTTAGTCTGTTATCTCACTACTTAATACAACCTTGTAAGTGTAACTTTCAACTTTATTAAGTTGTTGGCAAAAGACTATCTTGATTGTACTTTATTTGGAATGGTATGCATAAGATTGTGGCACGTTTGTTTTTTAGTAGTGCCATCGCAAATTTTTCAGAAATTTATATCAGTAATTGAATAATGTATCTACATATAAATCAATCACACTATCCGAAAATTCTTTTTGTGGAAAGTCTGGTCACTTTTTTCATAGGTGTTGAAAATATATTTGGGCATCAAAATCTGATTAGTCATAATCGAAAACTCAATTCAGTGTGTCTACCCTTTATTTAGTTCAGTCATCCAAAAAATGTAGAAGTTTTTTTTTTCTCACCGGTTCTGTATGTTTTTTAGGGTGCTGAATCCAAATATGAGCTTTGCCAACACGCCAGGTTTCGGCTTCACAATGAAAATTGCGAAAAACCCTAAATTTTTGGCACTTTTTTCAGGTTTTTAACTATTACTCGAAAACTAAGCGTTTTTTTTAATCATAACTATGATATACCAAATTGAAGTGGACAAAATTTCCTACAAGTAGGTATAATTACTCTAAAGTCTTGACAATCCATAACGTCGTTATATCGTGTTGAAAAAATGGCGTTTCTTGACTTTCCTCTAAAAAAGTTGAAAATGGCGGCTGGGGAAGTGATTCCTCTACTGTCATTCATTAATTCCATACCAACTATTGAAACAAAAGGCGATTTTGCCCCAGATTTTCATTTGCTGTTTGGTAGGCGAATGATTAACCACTGACCGATCGAAAATTCTGAATGCACATAAGAAGGATTGTGTTAAAGAACTTGCTTTGAAATTTGAAGACAAGCTTGACCAACTCACGCCTAGTTGTGGAATCAGTACCTACTTTCAAATGATTACACTAATCTTAAATCTCATAGATGCAGATAGAACAGGCAACTGAGCTTTACACCTGAAAACTATCCATGACATGCTTCCCTATTTCCATGACAGTGGGCACTTTCTCTATGCGAAGTACTGTATTTGCAATGTTGGAGCTACACTACTCCCCCTAATGATTAAAAAGCTTTCACTTTGCAAGGCAGGCTCACTGTGCGGCGAAGCCATAAGTTTCGTTGTGGAACATGAAGTGACATGTGCATAGAGCAAGAGCTCATCAAACATATGAAATCTTGGCGTGTCGGCAAACCTCAGATTGGGATTCAGCACCAGTGAGAAAAAAAATTTCTACATTTTTTCCCTGGAAAAAAACCCTGCTTACTGAACCAATTAGGTTGGTCCCTAATTTCATTAAACATTTTTGTTTTCATTAAGATTTCAGTAATAATTAGGTATAAGCTCTGAAAATTATTATAAGGGATTTTCTTGAAGAAAACTGTTCAGAAACTATATTGAGATTGTCTTTGGCCTTGGTCTTTTGTTGATGGGAAAATTGAGTTTCGAAAAATCGGAGAATAGAATTACTATTTTGAAAATTCGATACGAATTTCGACTCGACTCGTAAAATAGAATCCGGCAGCTAGATTCGAAATCCTGGAGTGAGTAAAGTGGTCTTTACTCCACTCCATAGGGCAGCGTTTCACTAATGATTAAATAGAAAAAGTCAGAATCTACTGTGGGAACAACGTGCGGAGCAAAACTTACCGATTTGATGGTTGTAAAAATCCGAAATAATCGGTGAAATTTATGGCACTTTAAGAAAACATAACGCAACGTAAGGCAACTCAATGTAGCATAAATTCAATATTTGGGAATATTAAGTTCAAAATCCCTCAAGGGGCGAAGACAGAATTTAACTTCTTCAGAAAGACCTTATTTCTCGGAACTAACAAACGTGAAAGAAAGAAGCACCACAGGGAATTAATTAGCTGTCCTAGATTTGAGGAATAGAGATGTGTCAGAGTATCGTCAGATGTCAGAAAGATATCGAAGAGATTTACAAGTACCCAAAATTACACACAACTATATAATCTGAGAAAAATTACAACAGCTGACGACTAATGATAACAACAACAAGTAATTAATCACTAGAACAATCATAATTTGAAAAATACAACATTGAATAAGCAATTCGTGTTGCAAAACGTAAACGCTTACAAAGGAATCGATGATCCCAAAACCATTACTAATTGAAAGGCCAACTGACAAAAATGAACGACATTTCTGCCGTCAGCTGTCACACAAATCATGAATGACATGACTTAAGTGTCACTATAAAATAGGGAGCAATCTGGTGGTTTATGGAACCAATAATGGAACTAAATCTGGTACTGGGTTCAGCAACCGAACAGAGTATAGTTCGCCTTACGAGTCTAGCATTACGACGTCTGAAGGGTAAGGGGAAATACCGCCATTCATGAGTCAAATAGGCAATATTGCAATTTTTTTATCCGCATTCTTTCCAAAGTGCTAGACTCGTAAGGCGAACTTTACGAGCAGCATGCGAACATACTTCGAAAACGGATGAGTATTTGGAAAACTCAATGACATTGGGAAAACCTAACCCAAGAATAATTGATTATTTGTTTACATGAAAAATGGACTTTTGAAATGGAATTAAAATATTGATAGCTACCAATAGATTCGATTAGCTGCCCTTTTTCAATGTTCAATTTTTGATTATTCCCGGCTCTTGATTCGAATCAAGAGAGCAATATTTCAAGGCAGCTACACTTCTAAAATTTTGCTACCATAAATCCCCTATAAATAGTTGTTTCATGAAAGTAGGAATAGCTACTTACGAATTGATTCGATTCTTTGTCAATATTCAATTTTTAATTATTCCCCCAATGTAGCCACATTTCTTAAATAAATATTAAATAAATCCGCTTGATTCGAATCAAGAGCCGGGAATAATCACTCAATCAATCAATTCTTCATTTTTTTTGGGTTGCTTAATAATCAAAAAATATAAACCAACATCAAAG